TCTATGATATATTAAACTATCGTAGCCTTGCATCATTCATTGGAATAATAAATACAATTGATTCGGAAACCCAATTTCTTATTAATTAAAATTTGCCCCCGACCCTATTCCGATCGATTGACTAAGGCCCCTTAAACAAATTATCAGAAATCGATCTAGATAGCATGCTTATAAAAATATCAGTAATTTACAGCATTATCATTATGAAGATCGAAAACTGAAATTTCGGTATCACATGATATGACAATACAATAATGATATTTTAAACTGATTTGATTGGTATGGAATTGTACAATTGACGAACCAAATAATGCCCTCAAAAATACGAAAGTCAATAAATACAGTTACAGTTGTTTTCATAAATTCTGGGAACCTACTCGTTTCTGAAATATCTTCGATCTCATTCGATCGAAGAGGTTTCGGGGAGCGAGAAATTTTTAGAATTTATGAAAACAGCTGTAAACTGTGTCTAAATAAACTACTGTATAACGTATCAAGTAATGCAATAGCGCTGGGGATCTTTATACCAAAGATATACGGTATAATTCTTAATTTAATGTCATTGCGAAAATCAGAGAATTATAATACAAAGAAACTTCTAAATAGGTTGTCGTTAAATTCCCTAAAAGTTATTTCCCCTACAGATCCGACATCACATAGGGTTGGGGTTAGCATTTGATTAGTTGCAGGGTATATATTTTAGAAAATTGTCATCCTGTGTGATGTCGAGTAGGAAAATAACTTTCGGGGAATTGTAATGTGTATTTAGAGAAGATGAAAAGGTTCATTTATGGGTATCAATTATATGTTTGAGCCAAAATTTGAAAATGCTTCTAGAGAAGGTGCATTTAAAGAGGTCTCTCTATATTTTAAATGACAATGTCACATTACTGTTATTCATTATTAAATACTCCATTGTACACAAATTTAGTACATACGTACGTACATCATGTGGTATTCGAACTTTTTTTAAGTGGCGATTTCACCCCAGTCAAAATTGATCAAATTGAGATAAAAAATAGTCTTTTGCAGTTTTAAGGATTGTTATGAATTGAATCAGTAATATATTTATACTAAGTTGCCGTTGAAATTATAATTAGTTAACTCGGAGCTTAAATTTTATAACGGGTGCAACTTCTACTTCGATCATTAACATAATCTATTTATCTAGTTTAAGAAATACTGATATTATATACGTATAAATAATAGTAAGTCTTTGAAGTTACAGTTAAAGGGTTTGGTATTTTAATAATTTTAAATTAATAATCGAATATTGGCTGTATATAACAAATATATCATTTGATTATACTGTATATTGGGCTGAACTGGGCAAAGGTAGTCCAATATCCAGGTCAACACTACTATATCAGACATGAAGTTCCAATTTTTTTTTTCATAAAGAAAAATCTAGAATGATCCAGTAATATTTAACTATGTGCTTTCCATCTATCATAGTTAAAAACAGTAAAAAGAATTTTCCGAAAAAATAATCACATGTTGTGTCACCTACACAAAAAACGAAAATAATCAAACTGAATTTTTCCCTCCGGTTTTTATTGGCTAGAGATTCCAGTATTCGCATTAACGTTGATTTCTGAATTTACATACCAAAATTTTGCAAGGAATTTTTTAATGTTACATCTGATCTTGTTCCCTGATTGGCCAGAATCAGAAACTTTTGGGGATTAGTAAATGCCAGATAACTAAGTGGCTTTTTGCATCTTACGAAACAAATTTTACAAAATTTACGAAAAGTGCGTGTGTAAACGTAAGTCATACAACTATTTACACCTATTTGTATCTTTGTTCGTCAAAGATCCAGCATTTGCAGGTTTAAATGTGAAATTCTAAAGCTTAATAAATAAAGCTCTACTTGGTGTGTCTTTTCTTTAATCAAAGATTTGTAAAAAGTTTCAGTTAAGATATATCAAGGATCAATAATTAAGTTGCAACGTTGAAGGTTTCAAGAATGGCTATACAACAAGGTAAGTTTCGGTTTTTGATTTCCGATCTTCCAGATTTTACTATTAATGCAAGTACTAACTATTCTATCTAGATTCCAAACCTGCCTTACCCCCTCGTCCAACTGTTATTAATGAGACTGGGTTTTCCGGATGTGCCAAGACTCCGCCTTCTTGGCTTACCGCGTTGGTGCATCATAATGAAGGAAATAAAAAACACGTGCACGAATTTTTTTTATCTGAATGTTTTGCTAACGAACCCGAGACTGTTTTAATATGCAAGAAGTGTCACAAACGATTTATATTGTCCACATCAATATCAACACAAACCGATGAGACTACTAGTCAAATTAATTTTGATCGTGGCATGTGTGCTGTTAATTTAGAAAATAAATTACATCATCTCCATACCACAATTTCAACAAAGACAAATGTAGCTTCTCAGTGTTGCTATTGTAATTTCACTGTAAATGTTGAGATTCATGAACCTTACATTGAGATTCAGATCTTTGATGATTTGCAAAAAACAAGGCACATTCCCACCTATTCTAATATTACAAGGAAAACTAATGGCTTCGAAAATGGGCCTTCGATAAATTTATTTGACACTCTCGATCTTTTATCAAAGATAATTACAAAGTTAATTAATAATGCTGATAATGCTGATGGAGGAATAAGATTAAATGTAAATTCAAAGGTATTTACTTCAAAGGTTGGCTATGATAATGCGAGGTTAGTATATGGTTTTTATCCTGATATTATTCTAAATTTTACTTAATTATTTGAGATTTCTTATGGTTTTTCCTCTAGCAAGGCCTTTTTTGATAAGCTTGGGTATGAATTGGTGGATGATCAATATATGGAGCCACCACCGCTTACGGATGAATATACTGTAAAATTAAAACATGTAAAAGAACAAATAGAAATGAAGACGATTGAGATACATGAGAGTATGATTTATCTTATGCCCTTACAATTTATATCATTATGTAATTTATAAAATTTATATTTCACAATTTTTATTGATAATTTATACAATAGAGGCATCTGGACAATTTTCTACTTCATATAAAGAACCATACGAAAAGTTGGAGACTATTCTTGGAACGAAATGTATTTAATTAAATTAATCACGTTAGAATTGTTGCGTATTAATTATAATTAATTTAACCTTGTTTATATTCAACGATATTCTTCAAGATGAACAACGACAACACCGCACCCTTTCGTCATTCGATCCTACAAATGCAATCCGTTCACCATCTCCTAGCTGCACGACATTAGGGTGTGTGTCAGACATGGATGATAAAACTCTTGAATGGGCTTATTTAAAAGCCATTGAAGAATCACCGGAAAAAATTCCCGAATATTTGCAAGCAATATATGAAGCGTCGAAAGAAAGAAAAAGCGAACAACTAGAGCAGTTGGTTGCAGTGCAAAAATCATTAGGTATTTTATATATGTGTAGTGTCTAATAAAAGTCATTAAGTTTTTAATTTATGGCGTAATTTTGTGGTATAATTTTAGGCAATTTTAGTCAAGATGATGTTAGTGAGGCATACAGTGTCATGAAAGCGAATCCTAATGTTTCTGATGAACAACTTATAGATGCATACAAGTATTACGTACATATATTTTCAATTTTAATGTAAATTTTGAAATTTATACTCAAACATTCGAATGATGTTTAATTATTGTTAAATTTTATGTTTTATCAGACTGGCGGTGCATCTGCAAAAAAGTATTGTGATTCTTTATTAATCATCGGAAAATTTAGGCGTAGCGAAACGATAAATAAATTTCTTATCGAAGAAGGTTCAAATGGTAAGCGTAAATATTATATTTTCTTGAACTGTTTGGAATAAATTTTGGTTAACAAATTTATTAGTACTATTCGTGGCAAAAACAATTGTCTTTTTATTTTTATTATTATTATTTTTTTATGCAAAACTAAATGGTTCTCAAAAAATATAGAAGTCGATATGACTGATTATTTCAGTGATATGTAAGTGACCTATTTATAAATCTTTCGTCTTCTTGAGTAGATATTTATGTAAAACTTTTAATTTCAAATAGGCCAGTCGGTCTGGATAACATTGGAAATACATGCTATCTGAACTCTCTGTTACAAGTAAATATTCGCATTACTTATTGTTATTCGTCATCTGTACAAGAAAGTTAAAAAAAATTACACATTTCTATTACTAGTACTATTTTACAATTCGAAATCTACGGGAGGCCGTTTTATCGGCTGATACGTCGTCTATTAATGGTTTAGATAACAATTGGGAGTCACTTACCAGTGGAGGAAGAAAAGTTTCAAAATCTGAAGTTGAAAGAGCCAAGAAATGTGCGTAGCACATTTTAATGATTGATTTATATCATACATTTTTTATTAATATTTTTATAACAAAATTATAGTTGTCAGTCTTTTGCGTGATCTTTTTATTGATTTGATGCAAACATCATATCAATCTATTGCTCCAAATACTGATCTAGCATACTTGGCACTTGTTAATGCTAAAAATGACGATGAATATAAGGAGACGACTAAATCACCTATGGATACTTCTACAAACTCTGATATGGTTATGGATGATTCAAGTCCAGGTCCCTCTGCTCCAGCAACTGCATCTGCAATGAATTTATCCGATTCTAGCTCGAGTCCTCCAGAAATTGAGGAGGTATTAATGTCTGGTGTATCGCCTAACTGTACAGATCAAGACCCACTATATCGATCAACTAATGGACAATATCAAACGGAGAGTGATGCTAGCATTTTACATTCATTAAAAGGGAAGGAAAAGGAAGATAATTTTTCAACTGCGAAAACATATGGTCCTCATTTGCCTGATGATTCACTTACAACTACTAAAGAAGATAAAATAAAGACCGCATCTTCAATGTTATTTGGTAAACAACAAGATGTAACGGGTAAATATTTTAAATTAATAGCATTCATTTTTCATTGAATTTTATAGAAAATATATGTTCACAACATGTATTCCAGAGTGTATGGACAATGTAATGTTCCAGCTTCAGGCTGCATTAAAGGTTACCATGCCTGATCAAAATGGCGAGCAACAAAACATTGTGGAAAGGTTTCCATTAATATTTATATTTATACATATTGTCTGGTTTTTTTTTTTAATATATGAATGAATTAATTCTTGCATATGAAACAGTTTGTTTTATGGCCAAACACGACAAGTTCTTCAGTATAAAGACCAACACACGGGCGGACTTGTTCAAAATATAAAAGAAGAACAATTCAATCATTTGATATCCTTAATATTTCTTTTTCCATGTTTCTTTTTAATAGTAAATGTCATTTTTGAAGCTTCCTTAACTATATTTTAACATAGTCGTCGTTTCTGAAGGTCGTGATTTGTATGATGGGCTTGATGTTTGTTTCGATACATCAACGGTGAATTCGTCGTAAATTTCGGTTATGGAATTTTTGAAATTTGTTTTTTTTTTATTTGCCCTCATCATATGTCCTTTACAGGTTGAATTTGATGGCACTCAGGCGCAACGAGATGTTACTCTCACAAGGCTACCACCAATACTACAAATACAAGTGCAAGTATGTGTATTATAACTTTGACGTTTATAAACGATAGAATGTTTTGATGTTCTAAATATTTAATATTTTTATATGATTCAAATTATAGCGGGTTCAATTTGATCGATCCACGTCAAATGTTTATAAATCAAATGCCTACCTTCGTTTAGAACCGACTATATATCTTGACAGATATTTAGATAAGCATCATGAACACTTAAGAGAAAGGCGCATACGTGCGCACGAGATGAAACAAGAGATCGAATTATTACAAACGGAACTCAAAGATCTCACACAGGATAAGGTTAATATACAAATGCTAATTTCTAATTAATATTTTTTTTATTTATTGTTGCCGTATATTTCTAATTAATATATTTTTTTTTTATTGTTGCCGTATTTAATATTTTTTATATATTCATTATAGACGACATTTTTGCCCACCGTTGACCTACTTAAATTCACCAGCGAATTTGTTCAATCGATCAAAGATGATGATTCCGATTTTATTATCGATGAAAATTTCGATTGGCGATTGCCAGAAATAGAACAAGAAAGACAACGTGTTAATAAAAGGATTGACGGTAATTTTATTCATAATGTTCATTTTTTAGGCCATTCTGATGCCAATTTTTATACAGATATTCAACATAGAATTTTCTTATTGAGAACCGAATTGAAGGAACTCTACAAAGACATGACAGAATGTGTATATAGATTGTACGCAGTATTTATACACAGTGGTTGGTATTAAAATTTATTGTTAGTGTTTGCATCAAAAACCAGGGTAATGAATAATGAACCTAATTTTTTTATCTAAAAGGTCAAGCAACGTTTGGTCATTACTGGATATATATTTATGATTTTGAAAAAAATCGGTGGCTAAAATATAATGATTCATACGTGACGAAGGTTGTAGCTATTTAATAGTATGATTTGTAATTTGTAATTATTAAAGTAAAATAATCATTAACTCTACATTTTTATATGTAGGTTGATGATTATGAAGTATTTGCAGATACAACTGGTAAATCAGCAAACCCTTATTGCATGGTTTATGTACGAGCGCAAGGTAACGTTTGCATTTATTAAATTATTAATAAAAAATATTGAAGTAGTATCACCATTATTGTAGTTCATTTTTGATGTTATTATTCATTACTAATTATATTTTGTTCTCTTTGATCTTCATAGACGCCCAAAAATTGGTTGACACTGTATGTCGGAAAGCAAAGTAGATTTGTAGATTTATTATTAAAGCTTTATCTCATGATCCTTACACATAACTCTGGATAGTATTATTATATTGTGAGGCAGAAATATGTTAATGCAAGAAACATTTTTATTGCTAATGTCGTTTTAAAAATAGTAAAATTGTATATTTTACCTCAATAAAGAATTTATAACCGAAAAGAATTCATACAAATATGATAGTCGACGCACTGTCACGTGTCAATCAGTCAATTAATGTGACAGAAATGAAATTTAATGACTGATTTTTAAAATTTTTTTGGGCCTTTTTTGTTAGGTTTTTTTTTTATAGTTAAGTTAGGGTTTAGGGTTAGAATTATTAGGAAAAGAGTATAAGTAGATTTTGGTAGAGACCCCTAAATTTCACAATGATTTGATTTCATTATGATCTGCAACAGTTTTACCACAAAATCCCGAAAGACAGATTCCCGAAAGGACTCAATACCGACAAAGTTAGCTGGCATTAGCTATAATGCTGGCCAATTTAGTCTGTATTATGTTCTTTCGGGAAAATGGTTTTCGAGATTTTGTAGTAGAACCTAATTCTAGACACCCTATATGAAACCAGGAATAATGATTTTTTATGTTTACAAAATTTTGCAAAAAAATCACAGAATTGAATCAGATTATTTTAAACTTGGTTTAGATTTAGAATTCAAAATTATTATAATGCTAGCTGGTATTAATTTGGCCAGAATTTTTGAATTGTAATGTTAGTTGACTTTACATAATTCTGGCCAATTACAAAATTTTTGTAGAATTCATATGGGCGGAAATTTCCAATTTTTGTGATTATATAGGTTGAACGATGAGATTAAATAGATTCCAGGCCAATGAAATATAAAATATGGTGTGATTACTGAGATTAAAAGTGATGATTTGATCAGTGATCGTAAAATTGCTTATTAATTGCTTATGAGTTGCTTATGAGTTTTTATATCCCATTTATGAGTAGTGATCCTAGAATAACCCAAAATTAACCTAAATCAGGATCACTGATGAGAAGTACTTATGAGTTTTTATATGCAGTTTAAATGGCATATGACTATCACTTTTGTTATCACCTAATTACACACTTCAACTGGAAATTTTCGCCCATATGTATCTTTTATTATAACATTTTGTTATTGCAAAAAATTGTTGTCTCTATATAGAACTGACAAGTATGCTATCAATAAAAATTTGCTAATATTAGAATATGTACTATAGAATAAATTCAAAAATCCATTTTGAACAAAATTTTCAACTTTGAAATATATTATTTTACACAAAAAAATCTTATATTCAAATATATATATTAATAAAAAATTTGTTAAATGAACTTAAATGAATGCAAAGATGAAATATTCAGAAAAAAATAAATTTGTATTTTAAAATTATTTCAAAACATTGTTAATTTAGATTTTGGAAAAAAAAAAAAAGTATGTAAAATTTTTAATATATACAAGAAAGCAAGTAAGGAATTTTTGTTAAAATATAAATAAAAAATAAGTAGCATGGCCAGAATTCTTCTTACTTTTTGTTACTCAAAACTCTTTTTATTAAGCCACAAAACTAGTATTAGAGCACAAGAGATTCTTCTTGTTTACCTGTATTTAAATCTTTTTGCTAATCTGATATTGGTTCTTTTGGATATAAGGAACTCTTCTTACTTATTTATATTTAAGTTTTTTCGTCAATCTAATAAGATAAAAACTAAATAAAAATTTTAAATATATTACTTGCATTTTTTTGTTAGAAGTTAAGAATTAGCAAAACTAATTATTTTGTATTTCAATACTTTCAGAATAATTTTAAAGATTTAATTAAGCAAATTACAAAAAAAGAATATCAAACTAAGAGTAGAAAAAAATTTTAAAAGAGATAATAATATAAATTTATATTATTTCTAATATTATTTTTTATTAATTAATTTTATATTTATATAAAATTTGTTTGACAATTTCTTTTAGTCAAGAAGCAAAGCAGATTATTATACTAATTTAAGAGATAATATTAAATTACAGAATTTAGTCTTTGTATCTAAAGATAATAATTTAGATATATCTGATTAAATAAATTATATTTGAAATAGATATTATTAGTTATAAATACTTATTATATTTATTATTGTTTATTATATAAAAGAAGAAATTAGAGAAATAACAAATGATAAAATAGAAGTGATCAAAGTGATAAAGGAAAACAAAGTAAATCTTCATTAGTAATTTTTAAACTATTTTTTTTTACAAATAACAAAATCTATATTTTTTTTGTCTAAATACTGTAAAACTATTTAAACTAAGCAAAAAAAATCAAAAAGAAATTAATACAGTACTTTAGATTAGTAAATAAGTAATATATGTAACAACTTTTAACTAGAAGATTCATTGAAAAAGAACTATATAAACTAGAGCAAAAACTGAAATTCAAATAGTTAATTTTATATATAAAATTATATTTATATAGAAAAAAGTATATTAAATGTTGGTCTTATTTTGTTTTCTTAGTACTATTTATTCAGATATTAATAATGAATTAATTTTATTTCATTTTAATGGCACAAAACTTGATGAAATTGATTATGCTACTAGCTCTCATTTATTTAATCTTTTAGATCAAATTGCTAAATTTTTATATAAATTTATTGACATGTTAATAACAAAAATAGATGTATTGAAACAAAATCACTAACTTCTTTTTTTATTATAGACTAGCTTGAAAAACTATAAAGATATTTGGTAATGAATATAACTATAAAAACTATTATGGTAAAGATTATATAATCCATATACTTTATTTATTGTAAATATTTTTGTTTTTTATAAATAATTTATTATATTATTAATTAAATTTATTTATTATTTCAAAGTTTGAGAAATTCAAAATGAAACAATGAAAGACATAAAACTAGAAGCTTGATTCAATTGTTATATCTAAATCATAATCTTTAACTAAGCTTTCAAAAAATATTAAAATAATATTTATTATCAGGTAACTTTTAAAAATTATAGATTGTCTAATTTGATAAATTTGATAGTATTTAATATTAAAAGATAAGAGTACAAGCTTAACAACAGCTTCTCAAAAAAATATAAAAAGAAAATTTAAAGAGAGATGAAAAATAGGCTGCAAGAGTAATTAGATTGTGAGGTCTAATACTAATAGTAACAAACTTGAGTTTGGAGTAGACAAAGCTAGAAGTGTTTAGATAGATAATTATAAAACCAAGTTTCTTAAAAAGATAGGTTTAAAGTTATCTAAAGCTCTTAAAGATATTAATAAAAAAAGTAGATTGGAATAGAGAAAAGTACACAAAAATGCAAACAGTTAAAATTATCTATATAGATATATTCTTTATATATAAATTGTCCCTCTAATACTTTAACTTTAGAATTGATAATAATAATAGTTTATCTTGATAGACTATAAAGCTATATATATATAATTTAATATAGTGAAGTGATGGAGATGCCAAATAATCCTGAAAATTTTTATTCTATTTTAAAAATACTAGCATTTGTCTTGAACTTAAAGATTAGTTAAATTTGTTATTGCAAGTTTTTTTGTTTTTTTTTTAACTTTGACTATCTTGCCAAGTATTTTATTTTGTATTTTAATCCATATATACAAATACACATATAAATGGTAAGTGATAAACTCTGAGCCTGTTGGCAAATAGTGTATGAAAACTATTTCTAAATGACAGGTACTATACTTTATGAACTAACTATTACTAAACACTTAACCTTACCCAATTACTTTTTTTAGCATCTAAATATGATAGCTAAACTACTTTTGTGGAGTTGTACTAAGCTTTAAATCCTAAAACTAGTGACTAACTTTTTACTAGAATATATGTTTCACCCACTCATGTATTTACCAGACTTCATTAACCTCCTACTATAGCTTGACTCATGCACTCAGAGTCAGGACTAACTATTGAACCAGGACCCTGAGCTATTAGTATATAGGTCAGTGAATTAGATGTGTAGCCAATTTAATAACTTTTTTGGATATAAGATTTTAGATTGCATAGAAATTAACAAAATTTTAAAAGAGGTTAGATTTTTAATTTGCGTATTCTTAACTAAGATTTAAAACAGTTAGATATTGTAGATATATATTTTGGATCATTTTTAAAAAATTGGTACATAAAATATAAAAATTAGAACATGTCTAATATTCATATATAAAAAATTTTTTTTGATTTTTTATTCTGATTTCTGAACTTGCAAGCTAAGTATTTTTTATTTTATTTCTTCTAATAGTATTTGTATATAGTGCTTAACTAGTATAGCTTTGTTGAATTGTTGTCTAGAGTTTTTATAAACATAAACCTTCACTAAGTATTTATTTTTTTAATTTAGTAGTATTTCCGGTACAAACTAAAAGGATTAGGCAGTTAAATTATTGCAATCTTTTATAATACTTGTACTGCTACCACAAAGTCTAGATATTGAAATCTTTGTAAATATATTGCCTTCTTCTCTGGTAATACAATTGGTTTGAGCTATTATTAAAGTGAGGATATTTGTACTCGGACCTGGTTATAAAGGCTGCAAAGTGTTAGGCTTGTCTAAGTCATTGAGAAAACTTAGTAGATTACAACCTTAATGAACAATACAATGAAATCATACTGAGTGCTGCTAGAATAGTAATATACATCATGATAATTCCAACACAAATAACTTAATCACATATTGTATCTTCACAATAACTAGTAAGTTCTGTAACTAAATTTCCGAACTTTAAAATTTTATTTTTTTATTTTTTATATGCTATGCATTATTGCTACAACAGTAAGTTTTTACAATAATTCTAATATAAACTTAATTATATACTGTATAACTTAGTAAGTT